TTCTAATCAGTTTCCTGTAACTGTTAAAATCCAATGAAGTATAGGGAACGGGGCTGGAATGGACTCTGAAATTTCAATCCATTCATGGTCTAACCCCAATAGTCTTGGTCACCACTCCTGTAGATGTTTATCTGGTCTTTTTCAAAAGACCTCCAAAGATGGAGACTCCGCATTTTCATTTTTCTTTCTTTTTTTTTTTTTTTCCCCCAGGCCTTTATTGATTTCAATGTGAGAGTTTTCCTAACAGCTCCTGCAAAACTTTCCTCTACTAGCTTTAACCAATGACTTTTTTTGTCCATTCTGTTATGGACAAATTTATTCATGTCTTAACTGCCTTTTTATAATACAAGACTCATCACATCTCCCTTACACATAGTTTTCTTTGGACAAAATACTTTCTTTCTTTTTGACTTTTCTCTTTATTTTGCAGTTTTCTTGCCACTTGTCAACTGTCTTTCATTTAGATTTGCTCTAGTAGATCTGAAGTTGTCTTGATAGACAACTCAAAAAAAAAATCATAAAAATCATAGTCTTCTAACTCTATCCATATGACTGTCTAGCAGTGTCAAGCATTGCTTCAAGTAGGTAATAAGTGACACCTTCATTTGTACTCAAAAGAAAAAGCCTGTCCTCAATCCAGTAATATTCGAGGACTGTTACCTTAACTTTCAAATGCTTTCCTGGATAAAAGGAAATTAGATTACTTCCTTATTCAGACGAAGTCATTAAATGAATACAACCAGTAAATAATGATGGGTGATGATTCACTTCAGGACCATTTTTAGATTTTGCAGGGTCTTCTTGAGCGAAGATTAAACAAAAAAATGAAAGAAAGGGCTATTCTAGGCCATAACATAACGATGCTTCTGTAGAGCTGTAAAAAATATCTTTTTTTTTTCGCTAGAAATAGTTTGCTTTTTGTTTCAGCCAACTTTTCACTTAAAAGTGAAGTAAAATTTCTTTGTTTTGAAGATGAAAAAATTCAAAGCCTTTACTATAGATTCCAGTTGACAATTAGCTTTGGAAATTAATATTTATTCCATTCATGTATTGATGTTAAGTCCAAAACAGATAAATCAATGGAGACCATGAAACAACTGAAAATTGAAGGTTTCTAATGGACTACACTAGAAATCAGAAAATGTTCTTTTGTAGAACTGCTAAGAAATAGGAAGATATTTTAAAGAACATTTTAATTCACCCTTTGGATTAAAAAAATTGATTAAAATTTAAGTATGTTTATTGGTATTTTTTTTGTGGTACAATGAGCAGTCAATGGTGGGCATTAGACAGAAGCTAATCAATGGACAAATCATCAAATAATTCAAAGATGCTCCAAAGGAGGACTTTTGTACTCCAAAACTGCCAGAATAAAAAAATAATTCCCAATACTTACCTACAAGTAAATTAGCAGCCAGGGCATTGAATTGCAGCCTGAAATTTTCAAAACAAGCAAACTGAAGGGAAATGTTTTTACATATAAATAAAGGAATCAAACGAAATCAAGTTAGGCTAACTTCTGGCCATAATGAAGACAAAGGCAATAAAAGCACATAATTCTTCTATTTTAACCTATATTATTCAATAACCATCTGTCTTTGAAAAAGCTAAGTAGTCTGTCTGGATCATTCTTACATATGAGGAATATGTGGGTTTGTTTTTTTCCTATTTCTGCCCAAGAATACTTTCATTTTTCCCCTCCTTAAGATAGGTTTTAAATACAGGACTGAAATGCCAAAATGTGTGTCTGAAAACATCACCTGACATTCCCTAGGTAGCCGCAGGGCATGGTTTCAGGTTTGTTTCAGCAATTTTTGCCTTCTCTTAAAATGTAAGTCTTCTACCAGGGCTGCCTTCCCATTATCCTGACCGTATTTACAGGATGCACTGAGGGGGATCAGCAAGCAGAACTGCTTGGGGGGAACAAATGTTTATTCCTAGTCTGAATATTCCTAGTCTGATCCTAGTCTGGATCAGCTCCCTGCTCCAGTTCTCTATCATGCCCACAAATAGCTCTGGCGAGGAGTAGGCAGCCCGAAGAAAGTCTTAAGGGGAGAGGAGAGAGGCACTGAAGCTAACACTGTGGTCAAGAGAAAAAAAACATAAAGAAAAAAAAAGAGAGAGAGAAACTGTATTCGCATACAGTTCACACACAGAATCCATAGCCTTAGTGCCAAGGTGGAAAACTTATCTCAGTGGAAATAAAATCAATCAAGCATGCTGATACAACCTTCAAGTATACAAGTGCTTAGATATGTTTGACTTAATTCTCAATTTAGTTTGATCACAAGTTAATGTTGTGTATTGTGCAGGCTTTATTTTACTTTTTTTTTTTTTCCTTTGGAGGGGGAATGACATTTATTAAACAGCTTTATTTTTATTAAAATCCATCTGCTTATTTCATAAAAGGTACAAGTAAAATGATCACCATTTGCACTGCATTCCCGAGAAAAAAAAAAAGAAATAATAATAATTTTGGTTTTACGCATTTTTGATCTTCAGTATTTCATTGCTAAATGCAAGGCCCTATTTCTAAAATTCTTTAGAGCTCTGAATTGTCTAAAGTTCTCTGGTTTGAAACATTGCCTTTTCCCTGAGAAACTAAACATTTAGCTGTCACGTCTGCACAACAAAATTGCCTATTCTTGGAGTTGTGGTTAAACAACTCGGGCCCAGCCTTCCTCCCCCATTCCTCCTACACCTTCCTTCTGAATTTTAATAGTTTTAAAGAATTGTCATGGCAATAAGAACCCCTGGAGACAATCTAGAAGATTGAAGTTTCCCATTTATTCTAAAAAAGATTTGCCTTCAATATTGCAACTTCACCATGATGGCATATGCCTATGAATTTGGCCATGATCAATCTCAGAAGAATTTAGTCCAGTCTCCATTTTCAACTAGTTTTGTCCTTTTTGATGTGAATACCTTCAGGGCAAAAGGTTAATGTGTCAAAGCAAATTTTTGCTACTTTTTTCTTGATGAGAATCCCTCACAAATATGAAGTAGTAGCAGTGCCATCTCAAAAGATTAACTATTTGGCTCAAATTGATTCCTTTTGCCTTTGAAAGCTCCCTGTTTCCTAAGTGTCCATAAAATAAGTGCTTGTTACTGTCTTTTTAAAATAAAATTGTAAGATTGTGAAATACTTGTTTGTGGCATTAGAAATTCTTTCAATTTTCCAGTGTTATGAGCCAGCTCAACCTCATTAATTGCTGTGGTAATGCTCTTCAGAAATACTGGGCCATATCATGATGTTTAATGTTTCAGTCTAGTAGTGAAATGCAGCCCCTCTAAAACATTTGGGGCTCAGGAGTCAGATAGGGTCTATCCTTGATTATTGGAAGAGACAGTTCCGTGTCCCATATAAACTGCTATAGTATCATGGTCAAGGTATTAGAAGATATGAGTTTGAGTCTTGCTTAAGGCAAATGAGATGTGTATTAATGACTGCGGAGTCCTAAAGGCTAAGAGGAGATAAAGATATCCTAAAGTAATTATACCCTTGTTTTTGAAGTCTTGTGAAATTTTACTACTCTGTTCAGTGAGGTCATCTGATTTTTGTAGAATATTTTTGCTTCGTTCTTTCATAGTATCACAACCCTCAGCAACCAAATAGGTTGAACTGAGTCCTTCCAAATGTCAAACTCTCAACCTGGGGGAACATATGAGGAGAAGCACATTTTCTTCCCTGTAAATTTGATCTTTCCTCTGCGGCTCTGCCATCTCAAAGGGAAACTGCCAAAGCTGGAAGAACCTAGCAGAGAAGACACACGCACTAAAGAATATGTTGATCACCGAGGACAAAATAAGTGGAGAGAAAATATAATAATTACTGATATGATGGTTGCTTGTACTCAGTGGGAGTGGAACTGCAAGGATGGTGATATTCCAGACTAAAAAAAAAAAAAAAAAATGGATAGAACATAGAGGAAGTGATAACTTGTCTTTGTCTGTGGTTTACTGGTCCCTCAGATGCATTTTTTGGTGAAGCTAAGAAGCTCCAAGTTATGTAAGTTATAGAGGAAATTTTTTTTCCTTTGATGACCCAATAGTCATTTTTAAGGGGAAAAAAAATAGAAAGAATCATAAGTCCGTTATTTCACTTTAATCATACTCTTTTCCTTAATCACAAACAGCTGGAATTTTTCACAAACCAGTGGCAATAGGAAGAAAGTCATTTTGCTGGAATGTCTGCACTGCAGACATCTGCAGAAATTAATGGAATAGAATTGAAAAGATACAAAACTCAGGTTTTCCAAAATGACCAGTGATTGCAAGTGTTCCACTGTAGTGAATCTCAGCATATCAATGTTTTTTTTCTTTACAAAATGAAAACCTTTTGAAATGTTTAGATACACAGGACTCCTTATCCACTCTGGTACACCAGAAAAGAGTGGAAAGCAGTAAGCAATCCTTTTTTTTTATTAGACATCAAAACTTCTACAGAAATGAATAAACACTTATAGTTATTCAGAAGTGATTACTATAACAGAAATTTCTAATGTGAACACCGAAAATTTACTCTTGGACTTACTTTGCTAAGATAAGGACCATGAGAAGTTCATTGCTGTGAAATCAGGAGGTTGCTCACATGAAACTCCACTGTTTATGATTCTATTTCAAGCAGCAGTCAAAACAGGTATGTACTGCATGACTTCTAGCTCATTTATGGCATCATCTGAGTATATTACAGATATTACAGAACCTAAGGTCCATCCAGAAGGTGCCAGGAATTCCCATCATCTTGGGAATAATCACCCAGCTCATCCATTCCCATGTTTGAACATGCAGCAAGGTCAAAAGTGTGGAAGGCAAGTTAATCTCAGCTTAGAGACTTGTTAATATTCAGCTTCCACTTTACTGTACTGTTACGTCACTTCTGTGGAAAGAGATAAATGCTCCAGATCAGCAACTGAATAGAAGAAGAAGAAGAAGCTGAAAAGAAGGCGAAGGATGCTAAGAAAGGCTGAAAAAGTGAAGTCTGACCCTTGCTTTGGAACATGAACTGTAGTGTCTTATTCCATTGTGCGTTGTACACCCTGAGCCTTGCAGTTCTTGTAAGTAATTATATGAAATAGCTGTTTAATTTATTGTTTTTCAGTAATGGAACAATATCTTCTTGGAGCAGATGGTCCCATAGAGCTCTTCTTTGCATAACTGTCTTTCCTCTTTATTTGCTTTAGATTCTCGTTAAACAAAGCAAGATGCTGTGTAAAGTGTGAACAGCAGCAGAAGGGACACATGCTGCAGGATCTGTGTACCAGTGCTTTCAATTGCTTTCATATCACACTCACTAAAAAGAAAAAACATTATTGGCATTTTTATGCAGACTTTAAAATACAGTGACAAAGAAGAGTAGTTGAGCTTATAAAAGTGTTTCTTAAGCAAATGAAGTCTCAGTATTTATAATTTCATCTCCTTTTTTTTTTTTTTTTTTTTTTTTTTGGTAATAATGGCATTAATATGTCAGCAGCTGAGATGCTACAGGTAACAAATAAGTTGAGCCAATGGGGAATCTTAAACTAGAATTAGAAAAGTCCAGTAACTTTCCGTAGAAATACCCTCTAGATATTCTGCTGATATACTACTTCAGGTAAAGGTGAGCAAACCGTAATTCAAGATCACACCAAAGCCAGGGAAGGTGCATGAAAAGTGCAGGAAAGATATTACCTTTGCCTTAGAGAGCAAAGACATTTTCAGCATGTTCCTTTTATGATCCTTTTGCTATATTCTTTCATCTTCCCTGGAAATCGTAATGGAGAGACTCTTCTCTGAAGATCATTTTGTGAGGGGGTTGCGCAGTAGCCAGTTATCTGTGGGTCAAGAGAAACACAAATCTATGAAGTAACTGAAAATGCTTTTAATTGGCGTGGTGCTATGGTTGTAGTGTGATCACAGAAGCACCATTGCTCATGAGCAGATCGTCAATAAGCAGTGTGACCACTTAATAATATCACTGAAAATGTTTGTAGGAACCGTCTCCATCTACCCTATAATTAATTTCTTCTACAAAATCACACTTCTAACAGCAGGGTCAAAAGACAGGGGTTTATGTGTAAGTGGATCATATAAATCTCCTACGTGCATTTGTATATTTTATTATAGCTGAGGATAGGCAAGCAACTGTCATTTTGGCTAGAAAAAGATGGAAAAATCCATCTGATTTCATAGTTGGTGTAACTTAATAGTATAAATTTATAGTTTTCCCTGGAAGAGTTGAAGTCAACTTTTGGAAAGGTTTTAAATTCTTAAGAGGGTGACTTTCAACTTCTTTAAATTGAGCTTTTCCATTTTATTTATTTTATTTATTTTATTTTGTTCTATTTTTTGCTTTCATTGCTTGAGTGGAAATTACTGTAGTGTGAAAAGAATGCAAATGACATGAGAGAAAACAGAAGAAAAGCAACATTTGAGCAAGGTTTTTTTTTATGATGCTATAAAAAAAAACCCCATAATACTTAAGAAAATAAATTTTCTTTCTAATGTGTGGTTTTCATGTCCATCTTAAGAGGATGATCTGGCATTCTTTTTTTTTTTTTTTAAATGGCTTGGAAAATACATTCTGACAAACTCTCTGACAAGACTAAAGATTGGATGGATTTTCAGTGTTTATGCTTAGCCACAGCTTCATTTAATACAGTAACTAATGTATGCAGCCACTGCAAATGTATCTTCTATTTGGAACATACCATTGCTTACTTCATTTGCAGTTTTGGTCTTAGATATCAACAAGAAATTTCTTGTATATCATCCTTTGGGAAGAGCATGCGAAGAAAGAGGGGCAGTGGGGACAGCACTAGGCATTTTGCATGGATCGGTAGGGCTGGTCCCAGCCAGAGAAGCCCTTTAGTGCCCTCAGGGGGCTGAGAGCCGCTCAGTTGGGGTAATTTCTGCTGAAACCATCCTTCCTTTATCACATCAATTCCCCTTTCAGTTCTTCAACCTGGAAAGCACTTTGCCATGCTGGTGGGAACATTGTGAACATGTAGATGTATATTTCTACATGACAAAATTCTTAAAAAGGTGCCTAGGGTCCAATGAGTTTATTGCCCAGTTTGATGAGACCTAGTGGATTGCTATTAATGCTCTGAGAATGCAAACTAGTTGGAAAATCAGGGAACATTAAGGGACTTCATAATATCCTGTCAGTAACGATAAATCAGTAGATAACTTGGGAAATACCTAGAGTGGATATACCCAGAACAGGACCTGAATGGGCGTGGGATAAATCTTTTCACTTTAATTTGCCTGCATTCTGTCATAGCAGTATTTGGTCAAGCAGTAGTTAGTACAGAGTTGAACATAAACTGTGAGAGCATCTCTCACAGAGAGGTTTAGGTCTTCTTGGAGGAGGAAGAAATAAATTAAACCATGGCCTTTGATCAGCCCCACCGTTTTCTTTCAGATGCTTGAATTCAAGCATTCTTACAAATTTGAAAACCAAGTAAGAAAAAAAAAATCTGGTCTGGTGAGCAAGTCAAAATCTTTGTTTTTACCATGAACTAATATTTCAGCGAGCAAAGACAGTTTTCACAGGCGAAATAAATCTAGTCTTATTTTTTTTTCTTTTTTTTTTTTTGCCAAGAAAATTAATTTAGGACCATGGAAATGGGTACATTTCCTGTCTGCCGATATTTTTCTGGGCAGAATTCTCCAAATGGGATGACTGTCTTTCTTTCTTCGTCTTCTTTCTTCCTTTATTTTATTTTTATTTTATTTTTTTTAAGCTTCTTTTTGCAACAGCTTCTATATACAAAGGGAAATGAGCTTCTCAACATAAATGACTTTCCTTGTCCAGGGTGAGTATCAGAAGAGGAAGAATAAATAAATGTTGGCATGAAAAGAGATATCAGAGGAGTCATCTGCCAGTTTTGCAGGAAAACCTAAAACTGAAGTATCAGGGAAGCAGAAAAAAACTCTTTGAAATAACTGTATGTGCATATATGACATTTCTAATCACCAGGTCCAGGCCCAAGACGGGCAAGGGCTGAACAGTGAATCCAACACTCTCCCAAGGAGCAGGCTGGGAGCCTAGTGTTAGCCAACAAGCAGTTCAAATGATCTGCACGGGATAAACATGTTAACATGGAGGAGAAACATTTCTTGCTAGAACCATTGTGTTCTGTCCTCTGAATGACCCGAAGGCAAACTATTTACTCCCCCAAATGCCTAAATATTAATTGTATTATGTGGAACAAACCTGAGCCATATGCCATCCACCTGTTCGCTATGTAGCTCCTATCCTTGTTTTATTTCCTCTTGTGCATGTGTGTTTATATCCATATATGGATATAGACAGTGCACTAGCACCCAGATCTTGGGAACAAAGCTGAGCTCAGAGAGTCACTGACTGCAACCAGTCTGCGGAGATGGGAGACAGTAGCTACAGCTGAGCAAAGCACAAGATGCTTATTTTGTGCTCTCTCCGATGGCGATCTGAATCCCTTCAAGTTCTCTTTTGGTGTCCATGTAAGCAATGCCAATTTGCTTATTATAATGCAATCTCATTGTTCTATAACCTCATTATTATACTACAGAGAAATCTTGTGAACTTCTCAGCATGGATCCTTAGCTTCATTCTCTAACACCTATACCAATAAAGAACTGCTCTAATATAAATCAGAACAACTCAGCAGCTTTTGGCAGAGTTCAGCTGGATTCAACAGCTGAAATCATTCAAAATTTTTTTGAGGAAATAGTGTCTGTCAGCTGGCAGAGCTGTATGGCATTTTCTTTGCTAAACCCTAATTCAACACTCTATGAGTTTAGTGCATCCTTGTTAGCTGCAGAAGTATAGACGTGGACTCAGTGGCTCATGAGATCATTTGCAACTTCTTATTCCTAATCACCTTAAACTCTTCTCACTATAGGTTTCTGGGAATGTTCATCCAGAATGTGATTTTATAACTGAACTGAAGAAAAAGGAAGTCGAATGTTTAAAGGACTCAGAAAAGCATGGAAATGCAACACCAGGTATGCAGGGGTGAAGGCTGAAAGGAGTGATGAAGTGAGACCCCACTAGAGTCAGAATGCAGCAAGCTGGCAATGTGCACTGCTTCTCCTACTATGAGACATGGAATGTGCTCCGTGTATAAATCAAAGAATTTGAATGCCAAAGAGCCTGAATGATTTATATACTGTCCCACCAGGTCCTGGTGATCTGGTCAGCTCTTATTCTATTTCTCTTTCCTTCATTCCTATTCTTTTTTTTTCAATCCTTTTCCACATGCATGTATGGGCAATCCATCCACTCTTTCTCCTATCCATCAGCTTTTCATAGTGATGAAACAACCATGTCTATCAATTCATCTAGTGTTTGCAGGCCAGATTTCTTCCCTGATTTTTTACCTTGTGTATGGTACATAAGCCAAAGCCTAGAGTTTCATAAAAAGATTGATTTCTTGTTAACCAGTTACTCCAAGTCATAACAAAAGTAACTACTTGTTATTTTGTTTGGTCTTATCAAAAGCCACCCTGTTTTATTTCTTTTGAAGTGCATATATCAAATATATCTATATAAAATACAAAGATCAGTGAATAGGAATAGTACAAATTGAAAAGTTCACTGTATGTCACCTGAGAAAAGAAGACAGTTTTTTTTGTGGGGGGGAGTTGTTAATACAACCATCACCTTAAGAAAGACAAGTGTTAGTTTCAGCACTTTTCTGCTGCATTTATCTCCTTAATAAGCGAGATTTTAAGAAATGTTGCAAGACACGAGCTGAATCCAAACTCCCACAAAGGACTTTTACTGCAAAAGCTTCTGTATTTTACTGTTTTGTCTTGTCGAAGAATACAGCCTAAGCCTTGGAGGAATCACTGAGAGGTAGGAAGGTTGCTATAGGCAGATGTATATACAGGATTGGAGGATTTACTGGTTTTATTTCTTTGCATTTAGGTGCATTTAGTGTACACACAGGTGCCTGCATGTGATTAAGATCTAAGCTTCTACTGTAATTAATGGAGATATAACAATATACTTGTTCATTGACTTCAGCTATAACTGAGCACTATCATGTTCCTCATATGAAGGTGTGCTAAACGCCAAAAGTAGGACAACTCCTTAGTGTCATAACTTGTTCTTTCTTCCAGTTCCCCTTTCTTCCCCATTTTTGAGATACAGTTCATTTATTATTGAAGTATACCTAAAAAAAAAACAAAAAAAAAAACCCTAATCTGAGTCTAATTTAAGCAGAGTAAGTAGTCCTCTGGAGTTGTTTATATATCACTATAGATTAAAAATTAATCCTGCACTATTTTACCAACAGGTAAAGAGATAAAGTTGGAAAGACATTTTAATAAAATTAAATTTTGTTTAAAAAATGTATTTTGCTTTTTGTTTTTGAGGTTGTAAGAGAAGCTGGGACAAGCTACTGTGCTGGCCAGAGGCAGATGCTGGAGAAACTCTTGTTTTACCCTGCCCAAATATCCTCTTTCACTTCATGAAGGAGCCAGGTGATGTAACAGAATGGCTCTACTCCTATTTTTTTGTCTCAAGTCTGGGAACTATGTTTCTTAAAAGATGGCTCATTGCAAACTCCTGCCCCAAGCTGAAATAAGGGCATTGCTGGAAAGATTTCCATGGAAGCTGAAAGAATTTGGCAGTTCTCAGGTTTTAAGCAGTATCTAATTGAATATAATCTCATAGTCCATGATGAGACCCAGAGACTGAAATCTTTGGAGCGGCTTCCAGTAGTTTCCACAGACTTTGGGATTGGCTTATTGAGTAACATTTCTACAGAGCTCATATGGGGGACATCTGGGTCAGAACTTAAGCACATATCTTAAAAAGATTTATGCTGTGCATAATGTGGAATGAAATGAAAGTCAGAGAAATGAATAATGTGACTTTTCTTTAATACCAAGGTCGATGATGCAAAACAGAGTTTTGTCATTAAGATAGCACATGTATTGGGTCAAATGAAAGACTGTGCAAGATAATGTGGTCTAATATCTTGGTGGCCGCTTACTCTCCTGGTCACTTTGGCCAAGAAAAAAAGTGCAGATGAAATGAAGATGAAAGATCATCCAGGAAAGGTCTAAATTTGTCAGTTCCACCAGAAAAAGAAACTAGAAAACCTAACCTGTGCCTCACCAAACACATGCTATTTATAAATGAGGGATAAGGAAAATCCCTTTCATCTGTATAGTTTCATTTCCTGCTCTGGATTCTCTTATTTATCCTTCCTCTGACTCAAAAATCTTTCTTTTTATGGAAATGGGTTACCCTCACAGAACAAACTGCTATACCACTCTCATCTCCTAAGAAAGAGTAAACCCCAAGGAAGGAGGTGTGAGAAGATGGTGCACTAGAGGGGTGGATATTGAATGAAGCAGGTCTGATGGAGCAGTGCCTCACAATCTTTTTCAGTGGGCATCTTTTCCCTCTGTAATATCTTCTTCACCCCTTTCCAGCTCTACCTCTGTCTCCTGGAGCCTCTCATTTTTCCCCATGGTTTATTTCCAAGTCAAAGTTAAAAGTTATGTACTTGAATACTTTACTGTCAGCATACAAAATACCTTATTAACCCTGTAAGATGCTAATGGTCCTCCTGCTAATGCTTTCATGTTAACACAACTTCTCTTATTTTTGACTTTTTGTGGTCTTCGTCTCATTCTTGACCAAAAAAATGCTTCTGCTTCAGTGGGGCTAGTGAGAAGGAATTGCACAAAGAAAGGCTGGTCTGACCCATTTCCTTCCTACCATATTGCTTGTCCAGTTGAAGATGAGATCCCGTTCGAAGAAGTAAGTTTGCTTAAGTAAATATATGAGAGTGATTTGCTTGTGTTATAGGATCCTTTTCTATTTCTGAAGACCCCTAGGAAAGGAAACTCAGTTGAAACTGAAATATTTTTACTGAGTATGGAATGCATTTCAGATTTTGCTCTGGTCTCTGGAGAATTATAAAATATATTTTATTATTCAAGTTTAAGAGTGGAATAATTTCTGTTGCAAATTCCATAGAATTGTGCAGCTCTGTTGAACTTGCTCACAGATATATCAGCTAAAGATGAGTCCCAAAATCATCATAAAATACAGGTTAAGGTATTTAAAGACCAGTCATTTAGATGATTTTATGGCATCACAGAAGTAGAAGAAATAAGCTACTTTAACACCAATATTTCATAATCATCAAATTCTTAGTATAAAAGGGGATTCTGGTTTCTCATTCTGCCTTTCATAGTTTAATTTAGTTCAGCAAGGAAGAAGAAATAGAATACATATGTTCCAAAATCCATATCTCTATAATGCAGATCAGAAACTGACCTAGTAGTTCAGTTGAATTTTTGGGCTCGATAATATTTAAGATTTATATGTGCAGAAAAAAAATAGTGCTTGATATAATGAGCACACAGAAATTACTGTTCAGATGTGCTTAGCTTGAAATAACTACTCTTTCAGAGAAAAGAAGCACGTTTAAGAAGTGAATGCTGTGCCATTTGATGAAAAAAAAAAAAACAGTCTTATTAGTCTTATGTGAAATCAGTGTTGTGAGCGGGACTTACTGTCCTCTGGCTACTTTGAAGTAAATTAGAAATAACTTAGTGGAAAGAATCAGAAAAATATACACTGGAGTAAACACACAGAAAGAAGGTGTGAGTTAGTTCGCACAAGTTGAATTAGATTTGTGTCATCAAACTTTAAGCAGTTAAAAATTATATTTCTAGTCTAACATTAGAACCGTCTTTGCAGACTAGGCTTCACTTTTGACTTTATTAGTAGTACAAATACCATCCTTTCTTTTCCAACACAGAGGAAATGAAAGTAATATTTATATCTTATTTGATGAAGACCAATGAACATGCTGCAGAGAGTTTAGTTCATATGGCACTGGAGATATTTCTCTTCCCGCTGTTTTTTTGTACTGATTACTATCATGCTGTTTAACTTCCTTTCTAGTCCCTGAGCCACAGTACCTGCTGCCTTCTGTAAACAAGCACCGCTGAAATGTAACTCATGTTTTTTTTCCCCCCTTCTTTTATTGCTTCCTTACATTTCTGGTGTAAAAACAATCATAAATGACTTGATTTTTTCGGCAGTAGCCTACGTTTTATATCTATTTTTCCATTTTTTCCAGGATTATATTAACATTTAAACAGTCCCATACCCACGGTATGACTGTGCTCTTTTTGTTACTTTAGACTCACCTGCTCAAACTCATCACAAAAGTGATGGTTAATACTTAAAACAAGGTGAACCATATAGCTATATGGATGTTAAGATACAGAAATATTGAAATTTGGCCCAAAGTACAGACCATGTGGGATTAAAGAGAAAGATCTGGACAGAATTTTCATTTCAGTTCTGCAGCCTATGTATTATCCATTCTGTTTTCTGCGTCCTTGGATTGTGATTGAAGTCAGCTCATTCTCACTTAAGAAGTATGATTGACTTTTTGACCAAGTAAAAACTAAGTATGGAAGTCAGGATGAGGAGATAAAAAAAAAGACAAACCTCGAAATAAAAGAGAAAATTAATATAAAATACAAAAGAGGCAAGGTTGTAAGTAAGACAGCAGAGAAAAGGAAAGTGGAGAGATATAAGGAAAGAGTGATGCAGCATTCTGTATTTTTTATGCATTCCACTGCTGAAAATAGTATCTGCTATGGAAAAAGCAAAGTGTGAAATGTCATGTTTATTGAAATATATAAGAGTATTTTCAATGTCTTTGTGGAATATGAGCTTAGTTTTTTAAGGATCATATGAAGGAGCTTGAAACTATCCTAAAACTTCTCAAACTGTGCAATGTGCATGCATCCATAGAATAGGTCTTCATTAAAAGTCATGAATATTTGATTTCTATTGACTTTTGCTTTGAGATTAAAGGAGGCAAAAAGGCCATTGGGGATGTGAATAGTCTGTAAGCAACAAACAAAGTAAAACTGTTATAATCGGTAAAACAACTTTAATTTGTCTGCAAGCTATGCCACAATTCATTCTTTTTTTTTATAGCAATCCTACTTTTCTGCTATAAAGATCATCTATACTGTAGGATACAGTATATCTATCACCTCACTTACTATTGCTGTGACAGTTCTTATTGCATTCAGGTATGTAGAGTTACTCTCTAGCATTAATTCATTCAATAGTTCATCAATCATGTGAGATAACATTAGACATAAAATAGTGTAGATAGAAATGTAGAAGAATAAAACTAAAATGGATAGACAACATCATTAAACCAAGGTTAAATATTAAAGAAGATCATCAGAGAAAGTCAGAAATAAAAAGAATTGGAGCTGTGAAATACACCCAGGTTGTCTATTGACAGAAGTCAACAATTCACTTTGATTCTAAATAATCAATATATATATTCCTTTGCTTTAGCTGGAAAGAAGAACATTTTTAGTGAACCAAGTGTGATTGTCTTGTATAGGCTCACTAGATTTTATACCAATGAAAAGATAAGAGAAAAAAAACTTCATGAGTCAATGTCCCAATGGTACTGGGTACATAAGCATTAATTATTTATACCCAAGATGTGTTTTGAAAGTTTGGATCTGAATTTGGCTAAGCTGGTATGATTTCTTCCCAATTAAACTACCAACTATAAGGCATTTTCAGTTATTATTTAGGAAGGGGCAGGCTTATTATCACTTTTACTGTAGATATCATGTTTGTTGTTATATAGTGTTTCTTTTATTAATCTTTTTTTGTTCCTTGTAATTGTTCACACCTTTGAGTAAAACTTAGTGTTTTATTATTACGTTGTGAAAATCAAGTTTCCCTGGGGAAAGTTTCTTGACCTCTGTGGCTCCTATCTTATGCCTGGAAGTCAACAGATATGTCCATTGACAGCACTCTGACCTTGCAAAAACAAACCAAGTCAAAGAATTGGAAAGAAAGAAACAATGGTCAGAGAGAGAGTTACAAATAGAGAGGAAAGGGTTATGGTTTAACAATGGGGCTGGTATTTCAGTTCAGCAACAAATTTCTGCACACTGTAAACAAGCTTTAAGATTAGGTGACCCTGAGTTTGCCAGAAGTGGAGTGAATTTAGCTTTTAATAAGATTGGATTATCACTTTAGCATTAAGTGAAGACATAGAGTTAAAGCCCCTCCAAAAATCTGTATTTAACAAAAAATAGAAAAATTAATCTTAACTAACTGAAGGTAAGAATTTTAAATAAATGTGTTAACATAGTTTAAAGCAGTGATCTGCATTCATTTAACTCATAAAAGTAATTCTAGTAAACTAGTGTCCTTTAGTTCTGAATAAGATTGTCTCCATAGTGACTTAATGCAATTTCAGCTATCCATGGGATTATGCAGTGTGGACAATCTTGTCCCATTCAATGAGATAACTGCTCAAGACAACCAAAATACATCCCTGCTCAGGTATATCAAACATGAACTGAAACTGGGATTCTTGGAAACTCTTAGATCATAAATATTAATGGAGCTCAGCATCACCTAAGGGGAAAGAGTTAAACAAAGGGTATTGCATGATCTTCATCATCCTATTGACCAGAGAGGGCTCAATGTGTAAAAGCAGACTTTCTAGATGTGTCTGGAGGCATCTGAGATGAAACAAGGCCTTACTGCTTATTTGAACTAATGCAAGATGAGAACAAGTGAGTGAATTACTTCAGAAGCACGTGTCTTCTTTTCATCTAGGAGACTTCGCTGTCCCAGAAATTATATCCACATACAGCTCTTTTTCACTTTTATCTTAAAAGCTATTGCCATTTTCATTAAAGATGCTGTTCTTTTCCAAGAGGAGGATATTGACCATTGTAGACTCTCTACGGTAAGTACAGAAGAAGCAGGGTGCTGTGGTGACATAGTGACAGCATATAGCTTCATTTATCATTACTATTTTTCTTATATATTAACATTTTAGTGGTATTCACCACTAAATCATCCTTTTATGTAATATTTTTAACCTCCCTATATTTGGATCTCACACCCTTCTATGTTCTGAATGTATCATCATTGTGTGGTCCTATAGTACTCTAAATCGGATATAAGCTTTATTATAGAGAAATAAAATAGTGTCATAACGTTGTTAATCTTCCATGATCTGAGATCTTAAACTGAAGACCTTTAAACACTGCAGAACACATGTTTTTAAACATCTTTCTTCTGGAAGGGTTGGACTCCCATTTTCTGATGAAAATCTTTGAACTGTAGCCTACAGTTCTAGTCAAACAACTTAGTTTTCTTTGGTCTGACCATAAAAACTGGTAATAAACCAAAAGATTTCAAAACCATACCTGTGGGCTGATTCTTTTGCATTGCTCTTGGCTACACAATTTTTAAAACTGAGCCTAAGAAGGAAAGCAAAATATGACATGTCCTTAAACATATTTTTATCCAAGAGCTATTGAGAATTGCATTCTACTTCTATAGGGTACACTAAAAGCCAGGGCATTTCTGGAAGAAATCACTTGCTTTGAAGAAATGATCTATATTTCTATCATAAAGATCTAAAATGAAGTCTAGTGGAGGATGCAATCTACTATGATGGTTAAAGATTTATTTTTCATAAAGCTACCTTAAAGATGAAGATCTTTCTTTTTTATTTATTTTTTATTGCATATTTAACTCTGAGAATTTGCTCTGTGTCTATCTCAGCCAGAATTACAAATGCTTAATTCATTTGCAAATCAATCACACTTCCACATGTGTGATATCAAAACTTTGCCTTTGTTATTCCCTAGACTGAATGCAAGATCTCAGTTGTTTTCTGCCACTACTTTGTGATGACCAATTTCATGTGGCTGCTAGTAGAGGCACTTTATCTAAACTGTCTCCTGCTATCATCCCTTTCTCATGGAAGAAGATATTTTTGGTGGCTTGTTCTGTTTGGCTGGGGTAAGTGAGAGTTGAAATGATATTAGAAAGAGCAAGATATTCAAAAAGGCTTTATCTATCTCAGTCTGCCTAATTTCTCTGTAGAACTAAAAGGAAAGCCTAAGGTCTTCTGATATAGCTAGTCTTCTGAGCATGAGTCCATCTTGAGGAGTAGCAGGCATCATCATAGGTTTGCATGGTCATTTTGTGAATAAAAATACACACAGGCCATGAAGGTCTAGGTATGGGTGATCTCTATCATCACAGAATGGTTGCAGTGGACAAGTTTTGGATTACAGAATCACAGAATCACTGAATATTTAAGGTTGGAAGGGACCTCTACAGATCATCTAGTCCAACCTTCCTGCTCAAGCAGGCACACCTACAGCATGTGACACAGGGTGGCATCCAGGCGGGTTTTGAAGACCTCCAGAGAAGGAGCCTCCACAACCCCCCTGAGTAGCCTGTTCCACTGCTCTGTCACCCTAACAGTAAAGAAGTTGCTCCTCACCTGGAGACGGAACTTCCTGTGCTCCAGCTTGTGCCATTACCCCTCATCCTGTCGCTGGCCACCAGTGAAAATAGCCTGTCCCCTTCCTCCCTGCATTCTCCCTTCCTGAACTTATACATATTAATCATATCCCCTCTGAGCCGTCTCTTCTCCAGAGAAAACAGGCCCAGCTCACTCAGCCTCTCACGCGAGGCTGAAACTCAAGGAGAGAGCCTGTGGGTGAGGATAAAGGGGCAAACCAGCAGGGGCGACACAGTGGTGGGAGTTTACTACAGGCCTCCTGACCAGGACGAGGAAGTGGACAAAGCCTTCTATGGGCAGCTGCGGGAAGCCTCCTTATCACAGGCCCTGGTCCTCCTGGGGGACTTCAACCACCCTGATATCTGCTGGGAAAACCACATAGCCAGGATTATTTGATGAATACAGAAAAAAACCACATTTTTGTTTTCTCTTTGCCTGGTAGGTTTCCCAACACTATTCACCCTCATATGGATATTAGCAAAATTCTACTTTGAAGACACAGCGTAAGTCTTCATTTCATGCACTGTTCTATCTCTCTGTGCTCTACTTTAAAGGCAATGGCAATGATACATTTTTTTCCCTCCCCGGATCCCTAACATGAAATTTTGTGGACTTATTCCGCAGAAATATTAGTGATTAACATCATAAAACAAAACAAAACAAAAACTGATGATGAAGACTCCTACCATTTTAATGACATATAAATAACATGTACTACGGTCAAACCCTTTGCCTACATCACACCAGCATTGGGAGTTTTAAATTTTCAGTTCTCTACAGACCTAGGGAATGGGAATTATGACCTCCATTGGAGAGTGCAATGGAGCAGCTATAACTATAGAGGAGATCCTTCCCTGGAACCCGAGGTATTTCTTTGCCTCAAGAAACTCAAGAAATTTTCCTGCTAGAGGACAACAAATAGATTTTAGTAAGAAAGCAAAATCTGAGGAATTTCTGTTATGAAATACCTTCTGGTGCTTCTGAAGCCTGGAATGTTGACTATTTTATACCAAGAAAATGCTTCATGTCTTCCAGAAGTGGCTTTTAAGAAAAAAGTTATGTTTTGATATAGTTTATGACACTACTTGTTCAAATTTTTGTCAGAACTGCTGCATGTGTAGCTGTCACTTAATATTTTAATGTAATTTTAACTTTTTTGAAAGGGTAGGGAAATATATAAAGAATATGTCCTGTACAAAGCCAAATTTAAATAGTTGGATACTGAGGTTATGCCTACACTGCCACAAAAAAGTATATGGCACATTATGGCATATTATGTGTGCCACAAAAGTACCTCTGCTTAAAATTCCATTGTCACTGATGTCTTGATTACAGTGATTGCCTAGATCTCTTTTCTAATCTTTCTGTTCTTTTCTCAGATGCTGGGATATTAACCAGGGATCTCCTTATTGGTGGCTAATCAAAGGACCTATTATAATTTCTGTTGGGGTACGTGGAATGTTTCTAAGCTTGTCAACATTACGTAGATGGGAAAAAAGAAAGTTTTAAAATTCAAATCCAGTCACTGCTTGATGGTATCTTGGTTACAGGAAGAGAGAATGGTAGAATTTCTATGGTAAATTTATTTTATTAACTGCTATGTACAAAGTAAGCCAAAAAGAAAGAGAACCACTCCATAAAGAAAAATTCTTCAAATAAATCTTTTTTTTCATGTGATTGCCAGTTCAGATTAAATTAGGCAGCCAAACCTTCCTTAAGGTGTTCAAAAAAAAAAAAAAGTTTTAAATACATACTTTCAAGGCCTGTATGTTTATACTAATAAGCAATAACAATGATAACAGCTCTTGAGGTGACGTTTGTTGAATAAACTGGTGAATCTCAAATGACTGGGGTAGATGATTACTCCCACATGTCATTAAACCCAAGGGTTGTGTGATAAAGCAGCAATTGGTTCACCTTAAATCAATCTGCTAAGAGATTAATTGCAGGACAAGTGCATTGAAAAGGCATGTAGAGGTGAACAATTTGAACAAAGAGTGTCCAAATAATTTCATGTCAATTTGTCAATGATTCAATGTGATATTGCATTTCTTTCTATCTTCCCTGTGTTTCCCCCTACTGGTGCTCATCTGTCATCTATGTTTAAATTCAAGAGATTAAGAGATTGAGAAGATGACGACTGCCTTTTTCTGCTGGATTGTTTTACTATACATTTCTGAAGGCTATGTATAGGTATTTTTGATGAAACATATCGTTTATCAGAACAAGTTAAACATTCAGACACAGCTAATGAAGGTGTTTACACATCTTATGTGTCTATGCACACACACAAAATGTACAGGGAGAAAATTTCTGACTGGGAAAGCTGAGGAGCTCCACTGACTTCTGTAGCATTGCACCAAATTAGAAATGCAGAAAATTTGTCTCACAAGCTAGGATTGACTTTTGTTTCTCTAAAGAGTCAACAGAGAGGAATAGGCAATTTGGGTATATGATTCATCCAACTTATTTATAATAGATGTCTACATTGAGAGGACATGACTCATGTCCACTCCACCCTAGACTCTATTCACTGTGCAGGCTGGCTCTCCATTTACTACTAAGGCGGTCAGAATGATCAACTCAGATGCAGACATTTCATTGTAAATATCTATATTTAGTCCTATGAATAGTACTAAAAATTTCTAAAGATATCAGTCAGAATTTATATTGCAATAGCCATCTTATAAAAGAAAATGAAAATGACGATTTACACAGAAATTCTGAATCACACAAAGTATTAAAAAAATGTTTGCTTAGCAGAGTTGAATTTCACTCTTTCAAATTCTGCTGTTTCTTTAAGAAGAAAGGTAACGTATTAAGATGCTTGAATGCTTCTAACAGGAATTCTGTTGATAATCTTATACTAATCTCATTGAACCTGAACAAATTACATAAAAACTGAAGAAAATATTGGTGGAGAGACTCACATGAAACTAACCGGCTGTTTCCTTCTCCCTTCCTCTTTCTCTTTCCCCTGCTCCCTCCCCTTCCCCTTCCCTTCTCTCTTCTTTCCTCTTCCTCTTTCTTTTTTACCTCCTTCCACAATGTTTTGAACAGGTCAATTTCATGCTGTTTATCAACATCATCAGAATTTTGCTGAAAAAACTAGATCCCAGACAAATCAACTTCAATAACTCATCTCAGTACAGGTAGTGTACAAACAGAGTAATGCTTTTATCCATAAAAAATTATATCTTTTTCTTTCTAAACAAAGGAAAAATACCCCCATTGTTATAGATAGAATTAGTTTGGCCAAGATTAAAATTCAGGAATTTTTAGTCTTGTTCCTCTAAAAAATGTAGGATTCAATATCAGCTAGTATTAACTATCCAAAGATTAAGTATTTTTACGAGTTCAGTTGTCGGGCTTCTAACTGTAATCAGTGGAGAAAATTAGCACTCATTCACTCAATCCATATTAGATCTCTCATTTAGGATGGAATAAGTTGTTCCCTAGAGGTGCCTTTTCTATACATTAACTACTTAGGGAGCCTACATAGTTCTTCCTCTATATTTGATTGCAATCATGTATTCCAGTTTTCAGTGGCTAAAAAGAAACAAATAGAACAAGAAAAGACAGGAATATAGTATTGCTGACTGGCAATAAAGGTTTTTTTTTTTTTTAGGTACTTTTTTTAACTTTTGATAGTCACTTCTGCATACTGCACACTGGACTTCACTCAGGAAACTAACATTACCTTACTTTTTCTCACGTCCCGCCTTAGACGTCTCTCAAGATCAACTTTGCTTTTAATTCCGTTGTTTGGAACCCATTATATTGTCTTCAACTTTCTTCCGGAATACACCAGCTTTGGAGTCCGGCTTTATTTAGAGTTGTGTATTGGATCCTTTCAGGTAAATTCAATCCAGAGACATTGATTTATTAGATTTTCTGATTTAATCCAATTTCTACCTGACAGCTAATAATGCACAGACCTTCCCTGTTTTCTCTGACAAGATCAAGCTGCTTTGGGCTGGCATTAAATCATCCAGGGTCAATCAAAGCTGGAGATCTAGACTCAATTTTATTTTTTTAATTTTTTTTGGCAATGGATAGACACACTAACAGAACAGTGTTTGATGTAGAAATCAGCCTCATACAGAACAGTGCCTGAGAAATGTTGTATTCTTTTACCTTCTGTGCATAGGCAAAAAGCCTGGTGCTCTTTGGATGCCCCAGCTCCTCTCAGTTAACACACAGCCTGTGGACAGATTGAGGAGCTTGCTGCCAGATGAAACAGCCAATAAACCTGCTCTGGCTTACTCTCCAGGCTGCTTTGATGGCTGAGGTAGAGGCAAAGGAGCAATTTGCTTCCCTTTGCTTTCCTAAAAAGGAAAGTAGTTTTTCCTTTTCCTTTTTACTACAAATGTCTGTAGGAAATATGGCTATCAAGGGAGAAGCTTTCTCCCTAAATGGTTGCATGGCATCACTTGCCCTATGATGGTCACTGGAGATCCAGTATTAAGGCTGATTTATTCCTCTTGAGAATTTAAACCATTCTGTTTATCCTGCCACATTGATCAATTCTGTCCAAATACACTCTACAAAAGCTTCTCCTTAGCATATCTGGGATTTGCCCTTCATTAAGTTAACTAATAATGAAGGAAAAAGTAAATTAAACCAAATGGTTAGTGGTTTAGCTAGTATCTGTTCACCCAGAATGGTCCCCTGACATCACAGGATTTTTCTGGCTCAGTTCAATTCAGGATATTAACAAAAATCTTCAATAAACCATATTTTTGATCTTATCTGATATACAACACAGACACAGAAATTGACTGAACAGCCGTATGAGAGCTATACATGGGATCTTATTTACAAGACCTATGTTTCCCTGATGATTTACATTGTCTAAAGAATTAGCTTGCAGTATGTTTGGATGTAGAATGGACCATACTTTTGTCAGAATAACCCAAAGTTCATTTGCCATTTTTTTGCTAATTCATATATCCCCTACCAACTCTCATGAGAAAACACTAATTAGTTGATGGTCTGGTTGCTCAGTTTTACTGGAGACACATACCGAATTTCCTAATTTGTAACAATACTCCAATTTATAATGATACTCACTGTTTCACAAAGCCAAGCAGTGCAAGTGACTTTTTCAACAGCCAATTATTTTGTTCTTCTGTTTACTTTTTTTTTTTCTTATTCTTAGGGGTTTATTGTAGCAGTTCTCTACTGTTTCCTGAACCAAGAGGTAAGAGAATTCTTTTCATTATTGCTTTCCCTAGTAGACATATAGAGTTAATATTTAGTTTGATATAAGTGGATAATTGCATCTTCCAGGTTCACAGAATGGTCTGTTTAGATGAGAATCAATGAAGTTGAATTGGCTTACATTATCTTCATGGGAATGAAGCCATCTAGTGGAGAAACAAGATGTTACTACTTTGTTCTATTTATTAACGAGCATTTTTGTCCTTTCTCTGTGTTTTTATGCTCTAATGGGACTAATGAAATGGGCCACACTACACAAAATCTGCACAAATGCAGATCAAGTACTAAAGATCTAAGATTAAATTGGAAGTAATGTTTAATTTGTCATAGTTTTCCAGTATCATAGAATCATAGAATCATAGAATGCCGAAGGTTGGAAGGGACCTCAGAGGTCATCGAGTCCAACCCCCCTGCTCACACAGGGTCACCTAGAGCACGTGGCACAGGGCTGCATCCAAGCGGGTTTTAAAGATCTCCAAAGAAGGAGACTCCACAACCTCTCTGGGCAGCCTGTTCCAGTGCTTTGTCACCCTCACAGTGAAGAAATGCTTCCTTAAGTTCCTGTGGAACTTCCGATGCTTCAGTTTGAAGCCATTTCCTCTAGTCCTATCCCTGCCCACCACTGAAAAGAGGCCGTCCCCCTCCTCCTCACTGCCTCCCTTGAGGTATTTATACACGCTGATCAGGTCCCCCCTCAGCCTCCTCTTCTCCAGGCTGAACAGGCCCAGCTCTCTCAGCCTTTGCTCATAGGGCAGATGTTCCAGGCCCCTGATCATCCTCGTAGCCCTGCGCTGGACTCTCTCCAGCAGCTCCACATCCCTCTTGTACTGGGGAGCCCAGAACTGTACCAAAATATTAATCTAATACTTTTTAATATATTCATTAAGCTTCACAGTATTTCTTCATATTGATATATCTATTTCCATAAGGAATATGAAGATCTAAATTATACTGTCCATGGGAGAGTAAATGATTCCACTTATTCTTAACATCCAGAGACAATTATAAAGTCAGGACAAATTATAAAACATTGTAATACAGGTGCACCTTGACTGAATTGCACAAATTGCCTCAATGACCGTAAAGACACAGATCAATTTATCTTCTGTATTTCAGTGTGGGATGAAACCATGAAATTTCCCATCTCTTTTCTGCATGTAAGGCAGCTTAAATGCTGTTTTAGACTATGCTTTGGATTCATTTTTCAGACTAAACCACAAATCTACTCATTTCTAACTGGTACTCGGAAAAGCGAAGAGTGCCCTAATACGCATATACTGCCCCACGGGGCATAGCAAATGGGTTCAAAGATATGTTTAGGACGTGAAGCCTGCCTCTAGATCATACCTAGTGACACTTAAACCGCTATTCCATGGGCCCAGTGTAGATACCTATGTTAGAGTGAGCTGACCTGCTCCAACACTCCAAGGACTATATTAGCCAGATCTCCATTTTCCAAGATTACAGTCTAGTGATGATTAATGGAACACAAGCAACATTAGGTAACACTAGACCAGCCTGTTAATAATCCTGTTTTGGTGATAGATAATGTAGCTTTACATCCAACTTGGCATCCCAAAAATACAGTTCTCTACGTTAGATATATCCTTCTCATTAAGCATCTGGGAAGGCAAATTTCTAATGAGAATTAAATGTAGCTTTAGAGGCTGGTCTGCACCCAGGGTAAGTAACTGTGAACATGTGTGCTCAGTTGCTAACAACAGAAAGCAAATGCCTCTTGACCGCTGTAGGCTTTCCCTTCCCAGTCTTAAATAGGAAAGTAGTATTTATTATTTCTTAGCCACAAGTTGGTGAGTGCTTCAGATTATACTTTTCTAGAAACAGTTGGAAACAAGAAGATATCTCTTAGCAACAGGCAAAGAACAAGTAATGTGCAGAGGATATGTTTAATTCTGTAGGCAGTGAGCTCGTTACTGGGAAAAAAAAAACAGTGGAAGGTATTTTTTTAAAAAATGGAGATACTACTAAAAACAATAGAAAATATTTTATAGTGCTGGAGTTAGAAATCTCAAGTATTCTCATGAGATCTAAGAAGAGGTTTAAGGGATCTGAGTGTGTACAAATATATCATAGTACGACTACGTTGATAGGGACAAAGCTATGTAGTTCTGATGGACTGAGTGCTGATAGTTTAGTGGAGATAGAGGGACTGAGCACTGCTAGAGGGAAACTGAAATAAGATTCCTTAACAATGAAAGTGTTTTCTTGTTTGTTTTGATTTTTTTTTCTTTTTTCTTTGCTGGGAAACCGCTCTAGAAATAACTTCAGATTTTTGGTTCCATAATCATTAAATAGGAACACAGGACTGGGAGGGCCCACCTAAAGCGAGTCTTTACTTCTTGTCGGTAAAAGTGAAGCTCATTTGAGGTTCTTTTGAACAGTAAAAGTCCAGCTCTAGCCATGCTAGGCTTTCTTACTGATGCAGATGAATGCCTGCTAAAATAGACAAGATAAAACACTCTATGATGTTGACTCCTGCTTTTCTTTTTTCATTTACAAAGGAAGTCCAGAGTGACTCGCTCAGACTGAGATCTTTAAATTCTACCCATCTCTAGTCTTCACCTACATTTTACTTCTTTCCCACCAGTCCTCTCCCCAGTTGTACTTGTTCACAAAATAATGTTCTCCTTTCCTTCTGAGGTGCAAACGGAAATTGGTCGGAGATGGCACGGTGAGAGATACGGACTTATGCCTATGTGGAGGAGGACAAGATGGACTATGCCTTCTAGTTCTGGAATAAAAATGACCACATCTGTCTGCTAAATACAGCTTCAAGATCTGGAATAGTGACATAAGAGCCTGAATGTGATTAGGGAAAAACTCTTACTGATTACAGCTTAATATTGTCTGTGCAACTTGGAGGAGTATCTAATTCTGCAAAAGTTCTGCCCACCAAATGTCTCAGAGGACAAATAATGTAGTGTTAGATCACACACTGACTGATTGATTATCATAGCCCTCTCATGGATATACTTTGTACCATAACCACAAAAATCACTTCTTCTTGACCTACTTTCACTAATGAACCATAGAGAATAAACCGTCTAGGAAGTGGACATCATTATTAGCACAATAGACACAATAGAAGCACAATCAGCTCTGGAAATCAGTATTCAGTTCTCATGCACTAGCATGCATGTAAGTCTATACTGTACTATATTCTAGGATATTCTGGCTTGTAATTAAGTCCTACACTTCTGAAATATTTCATCATATTTTCTCCAGTGAAAACTGGCTAGGTGCCTTTTTTTCTTCTACAAATTTTATCACGATAACTTTGAAATTAACAGTACATATTAATGACAGACATGAAAGCACACAAATATGTGAACTTCTCAGGGTTCTTATTCTTGGCTTTTCTTTTTTTTTTTTTTTTAGCCTCCATTAAAAGTTTGGCCCCAAATCTCTCAGAGTCAAGAATCCTAGTAGCAGCTTTAGCAAAACAATTTCCAGTGGCTTCATTTCACAGTTTATAGGGTCAATATTTGACAACATTACAGTATCTGCAGAAATTTGAAGTGTGGAGTAAATATATTTTGATATAGATATTATTCTAATTACAGTCTACTACATGCATGGAACTGTTTCTCTTTTTCTATTTAAAAAAGTCCTATATTTTCATTTGATCGAAATCTTGGACACATAGATGGTTAAAATCAGATGAGATGACTCCAATTATTTGTATGTTATATACAGACTTTGAGAATCCCCAGAATATCTTCATTTGTTTGCATTTTGCTGTATGTCCTATAACATACATAACATAACACAAGTATAACATACTTCCTCACCCTCACATGCTTTTTGGAGCCAGGGATACATGGACCACTTATTAGCATTGACACAGTGTTTCTAATAATGACTGTCTTTTCACCTTTGTGTTTCTTTCTGGACAAAATCTCTCAAACATAAAATCTGAAATAAAATGTATTGATGAATTCTAAAGGTAAAGTAGGTCAAGTAAAACATTGGTATGTGATCCTTCAAAAAAAAGCCATTCTGCAAAGACATTAGAAAAAGAGATATAGCTATCTAAATTATACACATTATCACACTATCTACAGAAATATTGGTAGATGAAATTGTGATTTTTATCCTGATTTTGACATACTTTGCTTCCAGAGGAATAAGATTCATTTGCTAAAGGGAGAGAGATATATTCTTGCCTCTGTTCCCATTATATTTGTAGTAATAGTGAGACTTCCTCTTGATTTCATATAGTGAATTATCTCTAGCCTTGTGAGGAAATTTGCCAGTAAGAGAGAGGAGAATTTCCCTTCATCTAAACTTATTTAGTGAAAGCAATTGCATTCTCAATCCATTTTTCTTTAAGTAGGCTATTACTATTTGTGATGAACTAGACTTTAGGACTACACAAAATTTTTAGTATATTCTGTCTTGACTATGAAATGTAACACAATTTAAAAATTAAGTAATTTTCAGGGTTGTCTTTTTAGAAAGTGAATCACATGGAATTTAGATAATATTTATCTAGACACCAGCTTTGGAACATGTGCAGATTTATTTCATATTTCACAAGATTATGTTCCTGCAAACTCTTGCCTGACGCAAACAAGATTTGATAAAACTCTTGTGAAAAATGTGAAGAGCAGAAACTCCTTGAGCTTTGAGAATGAAATTATGCTGAGTATGATTTGTTTTCTATTGGAGTAGGAAATTGAGCAATGGAAAATTGACCTGCAGATAGAGAATCACACCCACTGTGTGCAAATTGCTACACAGCTTACAGTGTCATGATTAAAGCTAGAGGTAAATCAGAGTCACAAGTTCAACACCTGAACTGATCTCACTGCAGTCTCCAAAGGAAAATTAAAAAAAAAATAGTGTTTTCTTTCAGCTAACGTGCAACTGAAGTCGTTTGGACTGGGCTTGTTTGTTGTATCACAACTAATTCTCCAAAATTGATTTATACTTCTCCCTTGACACCTGCTACTTTCCTCAAAATCAATAATATTTTTGATAGCATGGACCCCATCTTCCACGTTTCTTTTTTTTTTTTCTTTTTTTTTTAATGGAAATGAACCTTTTTAGAATATCAAATCAGTTTCTCCCATAACAGCAGCCCATAAGGCTGAATCCAATTCATGATTGGGATAAACAGCTAGAACCAGACCATTAAAATAACAATGAGATTTACCTCTATCTACTGCATTCACATAGTGTAAGGTAGTAACTCCCTTGCAGTGCCCAAACTCAACATTTTTCTTAATTAATCAGATTGTTTTCAGCCAGATCAATTCCTTGCTGTAACTGTTTACACAAGTACTGATGCCACCGCACAGAATAATATAGGAACATCTTTTTGGCAGTAACTTTCATTTCCATTGATTTAATGCGATGTGATTCCAGTGTGAATTTGAATTGTGTTTATAATTTTTCAAATCCTATGCTGTGCATAAAAGTCATACCTTTCAGTTCTTGAAATTAAAATTAATATTCATATCACTAATAGCAAAAGTAATTAATGTCATAAGGCTTTTAATTTTGCTAAAGATGGATGCTGGTTCAACTTTTTTTTTTTGGAATGAAACAAACTGGACACAGTGAATGGGCATTTTGGTAGAACTGTATTTTGTCAAAGAGTTCTGTCTGGCAAAGATGACAAATCACTTTGATAGGGTAATAGGATGCTTGGATGCTAGCAAGAAAAATATGGAGTTTTCTTTTATAATTCTTCACGCAGAGTAATCTTTGGGTATTGTTCTCTCTGTTGTTTCTTTTGAGATATTTCTGACCTTCCTACTCAGAGTAACTAATGATTTAAGTAGGTCAGTTGGATAAGTAAGTTATCACATGATGTGGGCATCAGGTTCTCATTTTGAATTACTCTCTTCCAAACTTTGAGTCTTCATACAGACTTAACTCCTCAGACCAGATTCAGGAGAGATCCCACCCATGAAACTCAGAAATCCATGTTCAGGGTAGGAATATTGATTTAACAGCTGATATGTGCTAGAAGAGTCAAATACAAGGTCTTCAGAATAGACGGAAATAAAATTATCCATGTCCATACAGAATAAATACACTCTTATTGCAAAGTGTACTAGCCAGAAAAAGAACTGGGACAGGAGAAATTAAAACCCTCTATGGTCACTCTGGAAATAGCTGAATTTTTATCTAGTTGGGAATGAAAATCCTTGTGTGATTTTTCCATAGTGGTTAAAGAAAGTATTCAATCTGTTTCAGAAGTACCATAAAAGGAGAATCCTTCAGCATCTCCTTCCTTATCCCTTAATTTCTGTGGATCAGAATACACTGTTCTGTGCACTGTTCTGTACAGTCTTTCAGTTGTGTCTGGGCATCTTTTTGGTCACTTTATCCTTGTAGGATTTTCTTCTCCTGTAAGAATATTATTTATCCTATTGGGTAGTTCCCTCTACAGACGAACTTTCTGATTATTCCCATACATACTATTTATATGTTTTTAGTCTTAATGATGCATGAGGATCCCACTAGATGGCAGCTGGAGACCTTCGCAGACCTCAGGACACTGATACCACATCGTATTTCAATGGCCAAAAGAATTTCAATGGCAAAAAAGAATTAAGATGTTTCATTCAGAGGATTAAGTATTTCACCACCTTTCCAGTAAGACTCCCAGCATTCAGCATTCACTACAGCACTGATAGATTTACCTATCCATGCAATAGCCAGAATATTACTTTTTTTTTTTTTTTTTTTTTTAATTGCCCCTTTCTGCTTGATCTCAATCTCTGGAAGGATAAGAAGGTAAGAATGTGCCTGGTGGTCTGGATATGATCACTAGGTGAAGGTGCCATTAATAGCCTTCAAACCAAGAGCAACTAGGGTATGGGCAGCACTATTACTATGGCAATTCAAGCCCTGAAAGCCACCTGAGATACCAAGGGAAGGGAAAACTTTAACCAACCACCAATCAACACACAGTGCCACAGCAGTTCATCTTTTGCAAGGACAGGAAGGTAGTGTAGGGATGGCCCCGTGGTGCTTCAGTCACTTAATTGTGACAGCACTGGAGGCTTTAACTAGATTCCAGCAATCACATGGAGCCCTTTTCCCTGGTTTTGTGGCAAAACCTCTGTCTTTATTTCATTTCACCAGTGCATTTATGGAATTTTAATATGTTTTAACATATAATACAATATAATTCTTTTATATAATACTTCAATATACGTTGATATACTATTTATATTTTAAATAAATATCCTATTGTTTTATAGTGTCCTCTATATGCGACAGTTTTGATAATAGGTCTAGTCTTGATATCATCATAATCAAGTGGTTGCTTCATTTTGTAATTTATTTTTATTAAAAGAAAAAAGTCATTTTAGATATCTGTCAGAAGGAGAGAAGGAAGGAATTAAAAGTAAATTTCATAGTTAAAAGAGCATTAATAGCATTATTTTCCGCACCCAACCATCATGGATTATGAAGCTGTCATATTTTAAGCAGGGAATTAAAAAAATGTCATTCCAGTTCTGACTGAAAATGGCTTTTTCACTTCTCATACAGAGAAATCGGCAACAATAAAGGTATTGAAAACATTAACACGCTATTCATTTAGTCACTTGGGCTGGATGGAATATCCTAGAAAATCAATGATTTCTTAAAAAATGAACATTTTCTACTGATTTTAAAATCTCTGTAACTAATATTTCTGAAGAGCTCTATGATGCCTGAACAAAATTCAATGACAACTGAGGAAAACCATTGAATCTACTCACATGTTTCATGCAGCAAACATATTTTAGTCTCTTCCTGGGGCAATGATTATATTAATTTAAAACGTACTCTTTTTCTTTATCCTTGTTAATATAAAACTGGCTCTGTATCATCCTAGCAAATGTCTCATCAAGCTTACTTTTCTTGATAATGATAATTTTTTAT